GGGGGGGGGGGGGGGCTGCGTAAAACAAACCGGTTCTTGAAAACACGGCGGGCAGCGGCGCGAGGGGGGGTTACAGGGGATGCAATTCTCAGCTCTGCCGCAGCCGCCCTCCCGCTGCCCGCAAAATTCGGGGCGGCAGCCTTACTGTGCAAAGTATCCTGCTAGTCTTTACATTTATTTAAAACTCTTCTTTTCCATAATTTTTCTTCTTCCTCGTAATTAGCTACTACTTATATATAATAATTGTGACGCAACTAACTCTTGAATTAGCTTTTACATTTTTTACACATTATTGTTAATTTATTTGTTTATTGTTTTTTCTTTAGATTTTACTTTATTTTAATTTTAGGTAGTGTTATATGTTATTTTGAGTTCGAGTTTTTGTTAATTATTTATGCACTTCTTGTAATTTACTCTCTGTAACTGTGTTTTTTATTGTTCCATATTAGGGTTGCCTGGAAGAAATCGCTTGTTAGCGATAAGGCCGCCCGTTGCCTAATAACTTATGTAACCTGCTTTTTTATATGTATGTTTTTGTTTAAGGTAACGAAGTGTAAATAAATAAATAAATATTTTATCTGTCTGTCAAACTCATATTCAACGCAAAACTCGAAGGCATTTCCTATGACTGTCTTGTGAAACAACAAGAGGACTTGTTATTAAAAATAAATAAGGAACGGAATTGGACCCACAGAATTTTGAGTAAATATAATGTTGCACAATCTAACATTTAAGATGATTTGTTAAATTTAAAAAATACAAAAAGAGCTTAAAGCTTGATTACTACCTACCAATATATCTTCTATGACATCGCCAAAACCACTTTGAGGCACAGAAGCATTTGTGTTGGGAAATTTCTATAGTGAAAGAATAATTCTGTGTTATTGGTTCAAAATATCGTTTTACAAAGAATAAAATGTCTTTTTATACATGTGTCTTCACTAAGACATCATGGAACATTACGATCTAGCCTGACTTAAGACTAATAAGTAATTTAAGTCTAACCTAATTTATTAACACTTTGTAACTTTGGAATAAACCAAATTATATTTTACTTTTTTATAAAGAAGCTGGAAATCGCAATATATTTCCATTTTCTACTTTAGCAAATGCAATTATAATTATAAATTTAAAACGTACTCTAACTGGGTGTGAAAAAATTATAAAGTGTAGATCCAAGGAAATACATTTTCCCCGACTTAAATGTAAATTCGGCGGAGAATGGGGACACAATTGTTTCCATAATGACCTTTAGGAACCTCTAACGTTGTTCTCAACTCTAGTTAATGCTGTTTGCATATTTTGTTAACTTAAACACGCCTTTAATATTTAATTATGTTGTTATCTTTGCGGGAAGTAAGATATCGTATTTCAAGTTATCTATGTACGCTTATTGAGTGAAATAATAATCGTTTGCTATAATATAATTCATATAATGAAGGTTAATTTAACACGAATGTTTTTTTAAAAATCGAACGGAACCATATAACATTATTTCTATGTTCTACGTACTCCATGTACTGTATAGAATTGTTCGAAGTTCCTTATTAGACTACTTGATAAGATAAAAATGAAGGTAGGCATTGACACGGATTATCTGTTAGTAGCTGTTACTACTCAGTTGAATAAAGAATACAGTAGAAAAAGTTATATTCAAGTACCATTTATTTCTTTAAAGTAAAGCGCTACCAGACGAAATGCAATATGGGCTAGTCATTTGATTTAACCGATGCCGAGGACGGCCTTCTATGAAAAAGAACATCGTCTAAATACTGAGGGTGTTTGGTGAATGCACATAGGCAAACACATAACACAGATGTGTTGTTTCTATCTTTTAATTTAATATTAAGATTAAATGTATATAAACCTAAAAACTTAAAAGAAATTAACTGTGTACCTACACTTAAATAAGGAAATTTGTGAAAAATTAATTTCTACCTTATTCAATGAACCGCAGTCGACGCCGAGTCCCGTCCGAGCAGCTTGATACTTTGGCGTTGCGTAGAGGGGTGGCGCTGCATCTTAACAGTATTTGTCCAAGGATGAATACTGCTTTGAGTTTCATCATCGGAAGTCAAGGCAGAAATCGGAATACCACCTCGACGTCCGTCGTTCCACAACTGCTAGCGATTTGTAACTCAGTTTTATAGGAAATTAGCTTGCCGTTATCGACAGCATGCCAACTATGTAAGAACCAGCTGCTCCACCGAATTATTTGCGCGACCGCCGCTGAAATTCATCTTAGTGTCCTACAAGAAAAGAGAGAGTGAATTCTTAAAAGGCCGGCAACGCACTCGCGAGCCCTCTGGCATTGAGAGTGTATGGACACTCCTGACTTTCACTGTGAGCGGTATTACTTAACATAAGGTGAGCCTCCTGCCCGTTCGATAAACAAAATTAAAATCTTCGTGTCAAAATAAATGTCATTATTCATATAAAAATTGACAATATCTCATCATAAAGTTACATCAGCAATCAAATGTAAAGTGTTATCAACGCACATCTGCTTCGATACGAAAATTCTTTCGCGTATTTAAGCAAAGCGACTGTGCCTACGTCTGCGTAATTTTTAACATTTGTATAAAATGACATCAATTAAAATGACAAAGAGGAGGAAATGTGAATGGTGGGAGATAAAAGCTGTGAAAAATGGACCGGATTCACTGACAAAGTAACAAAAGATACTTCGTTAGTAAAAATAGGATGACGGCACCGAGTAATGGTGCATTAAGAGCGATTAGTCGATGCCTGCCTTTGAATACCGGGATTATTGGGCAAACGTGAAGACAATGATAATATAACCTACCGGATAGACACCTTTTTACTTTAAATAGGTTGGAAAATCCGTCACCTTTTAGGAATTTTTCCGGGCTCGAGGCTCGTGATAATCTTCAGCGCTTGGTCACTGTAGTATGTACACCTACATTCCCTGCCATGACGTCATACCTTGAAAGACGCTAACAAAGTTATTCCAGCCGCTAAGGATATATACAACTTAACCTAAGCCTTAGTCTTCGGGCTAGTTAGTCAGTGGTTACACTGGTCAAGGTTCCTCCCTTTACGTTGGAGGAACTGTTCACCTACATCCACAGATAGTTAACCCATTCACACAAATCACAAGTCGTTTAAAGCTTGCTACAAAATATCAAATAAATATTTAAATTTTTAACATTTTTGTGGTACTTATAAAACCATACATTATATAATCATTATTAGTACTTAAATTACAAACAATGCCTAACTAAGAAATCAGCACAAGGAACAGAGAGAAAAATAATTTAACTCCGTATACCATATCTTTAAGCAAAAACGTTGCACCTACAACACAAATACACCGTGACATCGCTAAAGCCTCCATTCTAAACCTTAATTAATGCTACTAACGCTATTGTGTTTTGTGTACTTTACGTAATATAATAAATGTGAAATTTCGTTGTACTTGGGTATTTAAATGATTTGTTAAAAAGCTTTTCTAAGCTACAAAAAATTATTTTAGTAATAAAAAAAACAGTGGCATTACAACCGTTTAGGTCTGAGAGTTAGGTATGTATCTGTTTTGCGATCATTTGTTTTTTTATTATAGGGAAATAGGCGATCAGCCTTCAGTGACTGACATACACCATCGATATTTATTTTTGTACTCGCTATTCCCATTCTATAACCACAATTATACCAGGCATTATTGTTACAACAATAATCCAGAAATAGCCCAGATAGTTCATACATTTACTTTGTAAAGCTTATCTTTGGTTACCGACTCTAAGATTCTACTTCTACAAGCTGTAATAAGGACTATTATTAATTAGGAATCAACATATTTTGCACAGGTTACACTATAAATTATATATATTAAAAATTCGTTTTCTCAATTACTGAACGTTAGTTATTTAGTTAAAATATACTACTGTAGCGAATGTTAGTCGTAGCGACGAATATATTTTTATGTATAACATAGATTAAACAAATTAACATAACTGTTTATTATATTAGCTAACACGTCACGTGCGCTAATTGCAATCACAGCAAACAGTGGACCCAATAATCTCTAATTAACACGTCTGTAAACAGTTTCGATCCCACGGGAATATGATTACATTTATGTGTGCACAAGAGATCGTTACTTAATTATATAGACCAGTGCAGATAGCCTTTAAAATAAATAAAAAGTGAAAAAAATAATAGTAGGATGAAACCTATTGGAAAGGGAGGATAATATTATAAAAATTAAAGGAAAAATAAATATTTTTAATCACATAAATTACAGCGTATTTGGAACATAGAAAGGTAGGTTTTCACCAAATTTCGTTAAAAAAAAAAATTTCACATAAATTTTGAGGTTATGTGAAAAATGCGTGAATACAAAAGTTTTAGATCTTTTTATTACCTACAACTTTGCCATTTAACTTTCTTCGATAGGACTTTTAGTTTTGCCGGAAATCGAGATAAACCGTTTTTTACCCTTAAAACTCCCCCCCTACCCCTTCCCGACCTCAGATCGCCCGTAAATTATTTTTCCTTTAATTTTTATAATATTCTCCTCCTTTTCCAGTAGGTTTCATCCTACTATTATTTTTTTAGGTTTCAAAAATTATCGGCACTGGTCTAATAAGTGATATATTCGTCAATTAAATCACAAAATAAAAAAACTACAGACTTACATTAGAATTAAATTAAAAAAGAATAGTGATTTTATACATAAAAAATAGTATATTATATATACAAACGTATTACAATACTTAAAAAATAAATTAAGTCTCCCTGGCAAAAATTGTCTCCAAAAGCAAGGCTGCCCTTCTTCAGACTACGTGAAAAGCAAAAAGCTGTATCTGTAGTCATATTGATGAGAATTGACAAAATTTGTCAGAACTTGACGTAAAAAAATTTATCATTTAGTCACTGATTAATGTAATAAGACTGTGACAGAAACCATTTTGTTTAATATTTTATATTTTTTAGATTTTTTTTAGAAATCAGATCACAATCACACAAAACAACAACTAATGAGTAAGAAAGGGATTGCTGACGTTATACGAAGCGAGGTAAACATTTTTATTGAAGATGAAAAAGAAAAGAGATTTAATGATAATAAAAATTTGGAAGAGCAAAAAGATAGAGAAACAAAGGAAAGACAAAACACGGTACAAATTAATGATCAAGTAAGGGATCTCGAGAAAGGAGTCAGTGCGAAGAGTGTGAAAAGCACAGATGGCAAGAGTAAAAGTTCAATTGGCCAGCGAACAATGTGGATTCAGTTTCTTGGTACGTGTTCAATTTTAAACTTATTATTGTAAGTTCTTGTTTATTATGTAAATAGAAACTGTTCGTTAAAATAACAGGATAGATTTCAGCAACTAATCAAGTAAGATATAAGACGCGAATTTATTATATTTAGACATAGAGCTTTCTCTCTAATGTAATAAATTCATCAGATTCGTAGTTATATAAATTAATTTTCTTTACTAAAGATAATAAAATCAGTTGGGAACTCATAAAAGTGATACGGAATTAGTACTGCTCTAGTGATTCGACGGTTTTATAGAAAGCTTCTACATTGATGGTAACTATGACAGAACCTGTATCTTGCCGCCATGGGATTTTTTTAATGCTTTTATTCCGTTGCAGAAAAGCGGGAGTCATCGTGTTCTAAACATTATTAGTACGAATCGGAAATGGCTAGGGTTGGAGTGATCCTTTTCTTTTCACCATTATTATTATTTTTAATTTTTTTTAAAGACAATTCACACCAATTGACCAAGTCCCATGCTAAGCTGGTGAAGCTAGTGTTATGGGTACTAGGCAACGGCTATACATACATATTATAAATATGTTTATTATGGAACATAAGATACATGTATCATATATATATACATATAGATAGACATATAAATATACATATTTAAACACCCAAGACCTAAGCACAACACCAAATGCTCATCACATCTATGTTCGTCTCAGCCGGGGATCGAACCCGGGACCCATGGATTCGCAGTCAGGGGTACTAACCACTAGACCAATGAGTCGTCCCCACCATTACCCCACCATTAATTATACCATTTAAAGCAAACTTAACGTTTTGAATAAATATTGCAGGGATTCGGGAAGCAGCTAGAGAACATATAGCTACAACTGGTGGATTTGAAGACCATGTGCCTTTTACTTACGATCCTGAGAGTAGAAATTACTTCGTGAAATTTGTCTTCATTATTTTGTTTTTGATGCTTTTACTGACAGTTGGTTTGGTTGCACTTATCCTAAACACGTACGTCTTTTACATATGTCAGAGGAATGGCGATACTGTCATCTGGCATTATTTGATACTGTCATCTGCCATTGCCATTATTTGTCAAAGTAATTTAAAACTAACAACGTCAAAGTCAAACCAGTTTAAGACCATATTAGTAATTTGTTTTGCCAATATTGCTAGATCTATAAATAAACGAATATGCAATGGTTGATACTAGAGATTAAATAGGCATTTTTTTCCGAACGCTGCTGCTTTACCTGTTAACGCGGCGAATTACTCGTTCCTTGGTTCGATTCCCAGTGATAATATTTTGGTTACAAGCTGATGAAGGCGCGGTCCTTGACTTAACTAATTGGTTCCTGGGGAACATCAAACAATCCGTTTATAATTGCATAAAAAAACATTAATTAAATTAAGTTTCAGGGTTCAAAATTTTTCTTGATTTTCAGGCCTAGTGTAAAAGAAGTCTTCCAGAACAATTATCTCACGTGTTTAATAATATCTCTGTAAGTACACATTTAATATTAAGATGTTTTGAAATAAAGTTTGGCAAACTTTTTTCGTCATAAGACTACTTGTGTGCCCCGGAAACGGAAGCGGTAGTAGGTAGCGGTTTTTACTATTGGCACCTAATTCTCTCCTAGAACTTAAAACTAAAAAAAGTCTATACTGTTATATTTTTAGATGTATGTTTTATGATTCAATTCAGCGATATATAAAACTTATTATGATTAAGTAAATATGTAAAGCTTTAAAAGCTACTTCAAATTTTTGATTGAACTTTTTTGTTTCAGTGTTATTATAATATTTATAAGTTGTTTGATGATATGCAGCCCATGCTCCAGACGTCCACCTTGCAATTTCGTTTGTCTTTTTATTGCAGTAAGGACATATAACTTTGTTTCAATTAATATAGGTTTTACACATTTAGTCTTGCGGAATAGGGTTCTATCGACCGGTCGTGCGTTCAAATCTCAGCTGTACCCTAATATATGTATCCCTCTCTTGCTGGTATGCTGTAGGTAAACATCGTGAAATTGTCGTGATTGTTAGTACCTACGCAGAGCATCGCCCCGCCGCAGATCACCTACATGCCTAGAAAGTAAAAAAAAACAGTTAAATATAGAAATCAAAAGAATTTAATGTTATAATATTATAATATTGCTATCATTTACAAGATCTATAATCGTTTATTTAGTTTGTGAGGTAAATTTTGATACGATTTCGGTACAATTCAGTCACAGCATTTGTTCTCATTTGCGTCTGTATTTAGTTTCAATCGTGGAGTTATAATGTTGTTTAAACTAAACTAGATTTGAATTAAAACTTTTACCTTAACTCTATTGTCTAAAATGAATCAACTTTTATAAAATCATAACTCATTTATAACAGACTATAATTGAAAATGTACGAGGCTTAAACCCGTTTTGAAAGTCACAGAACTATCATCTATTTGCCTTTATAAAGTAAACAAACACGTATATATTAGTACGTAAACATATAGTTATAATTTTAATTGGTACAGCGTAGAATCTTCATGTTTGATAATCACCTAAGAATCAAATGGATTCTTCTCTATATTTTGATAAGCTAGAATAGTACATCAGATCACAGCCGTCATAAAAAGGTGTGGTCACTCCCAAAAACATACAAGTGTGAGTAGGAGACATAATATATAGATTAAATACATAACACGCGTTGCTACTCATGTATATACAAAAATAGATTCCTGTTCGGATGGTGTAACATAAAAATAGTTATAATGATTATAATTATGATTTAATATCACAATTAGGTTTAATTCGTGCTTGTTAAGCACATATATACGAACTTCCTATATTTAACTTAACATTTATTTGCTTGATAGATGCGTCATTTCATCGTGAACACATATTATTATACACTCAGGGTTATGATTAAGTAAAACATATTTTATATTGGTGTTGTTTTTAGGTTATGGGGATGAGTTTTGTGGTGGTTACGATGACATGTAAAGTTCGAACACAATTGATTTTCTATGCATTTATTGCAACGGCCGTTGTTGTCTTTTTTTGTGTGCTTCTGGCATGCTCTAGTGTAAGTAATATATATATATATATATAACAATTTATTAATTAGTTTTATCATCTCATATTGTCAGATTTTAAAGAGAGTCCGCTAGCGTAAGCATTTAATTAAACCGGTAAAGTAATTATAGCTAAACAATATACAATTGTAGAATTAATGCTGATTGGTTATTACGTCCGTCGTTCTACAACTGAGCATTGTTTAAGGGGGTTTTTGCCGCGCACCACCACAATTTGGAAACATCTACCCACCAAGCATTTCCGAACTGATTCGACTTAGGGTCCTTCAAGAAAACAAGCTCCTTACAAACGTTGTGTAAAAAATAAACATGGCGATTAAAAAGAGTGGCGAAGAGTTTATTGCCAGTTGTTCTCTTCCGTTCTACGCTCTTGATTTGAGAACTGGCACTAAATGTAAAATTAGAAGCATCAATATTCAATATGTATTTCTTTACTGACAAGTCATAAGTGTACAAAGTGTTACCCATATGATTAAATGATTTTTGAATTTTGAAAAAGAGCGTACCAATTCTTAAAAGAGCGGCATCGCACTCGCGAGGCCTCTGGAATTGAGAGTGTCCATGGGCGGCGTTATAACTTAAAATCATGTGAGCCTCTTGCCCGTTTGCTCCTGTTCTGTAAAAATATATATTTGTACGGTATTCTTGTGAATTATTCCTTTCAGTTCGACTTCACCAAATGGTACTTATACGTTGTGCTTATTGCTGTGGCATTTGGAGCTGTGGCCACGATAATATCTGTGTCTATGTTCTTTCTGAACGTCTACTATAAGCCAATACATATGGTAATACTTTTAATTGGGACTATATTAAACGTTGTGGTAAGTAAATATGCTGCAGATTCAAGAGACTGAAATCATTCACGTGTTTTTGCGCACTCTATAAGTTGTCATGGCATTTGTAGGAATTTCTATGCTTTTTAATAGATACTTTATACTATGTCAATGGTAGTTCAGTAAGTAGACCGCAGCAAAAGGTTGGATGGTTGATTAAATTTGAGTTTATAGACTGTGACATAATAAGATTTTCTTTTAGACAGTGAGATATCATAAGATAATTGCGCGATAATGACACGCATTACGCGCGCGCGTAGGTCGCGTAGCTGTTCGTAGCATCGTATATGGTTTATGGACAAATTATGAATATTGAATGGAGTTTAGATTCTGACATACTTCTATAGAGTGTACTTTGTTACACGGAGGTTCGGTTTCGCAGTAGAGTGAGAAAATCCTTATCGTATAGGTTTAAGAGTAAAACTGTTTTGATCTTATATTTCAGATTCTAACAATAGAGCTACAAACGATTCTCGGTGGACGGGCCGTCGAAATTGGCGAGTCTGATTATGCTTTGGCGGCTTTTATGCTGTACACAAGTATCATTGATCTCTTCCTCAAGATACTTCAGATGATGTATATTCATGATAGATAAATGATATAATTAAAATTTATTATGTTTTCTACTTCTTTCCTTTCTACTGCTTACTACTAACTTATTTAGCAATTAGTTGTATTCATTAATAATAAAGGCCTTTTAATTAAACTAAGTTGATCTTATCGTGGAGATAGCTATTTCTAAAGATAATCTTGTTTGCTTGTGGCTTTTGTTTTCACATTAGTCTTTGAAATATGATTTTGCCAACTTTACCATATTAACAGTACAACAGCTAACCACAGAATATAGATAAATTGCCTTCCACAGATAGAACAATTTGTATCACGACGTAAAATAAGTGAATATACATAAATCTGTGAAAAAGCAGCTAAAAAAGCAGTAGAATTCCTTGGTCTTACTCTCAGATTCTTCTGTATGTTTCGTGATAATTTTGTTTTTAACAGGCAAGCATCTGCCTTCTGTGCCTGAGCCGTACCGTCGATTTTTGGGTCTAAGGCAACGCTTATGTTAGTTTAAGTTGAGAAGTGCATACCACTGATTATCATAAACTGAATCCCAGCACGATTTGAATTTCTAATTCATTCCACACACGTTTTCAATTTCCACAGTTTTCAACATACATAGCTGTACGGAGATAACATTAGAATTAGAGGATTACTTTTAAAAAGGAACTGGATTAATGAAACGATATGTATGTGTACAAACACATATAAATCGTTTAGATTAATCGAAAGATATTGATAGGTGTGTAAGTATTATTTATATAAAGAAATCTAAGATTTTACGCAAAAGTTACTTTGAAGGATAGAAGTATTTTCGTTATCAGCCAATCATCAGACTTTAGCAAAGGAGTTTACTAAAGAGATACCTTCCTTAGATTTTGTATCAATAACAATAACAGAGCAATGTTGGTCTAGTGGTTTCAGCGTGCGACTCTTATTCCTGAGGTCGTAGGTTCGATCCCCGACACCAATGGTTCTCTCTATGTGGACATTCAACACTCGCTCATACAGTAACGAAAACATTGTGAGCATGTGAGCGTAACGAAAACCGGCATGTTTATGACTCAAATAGTCGCGTGTCGGCACAGATGGCTGATCTTCTACTTGTCTATTAAGAGATCTAAATGGTTACGAAACGAATACAGAAATCTGATACCAAGACCTAGAAGGTTGTAGTTTTTTTTAAATAACAGTTGAATACATGCATTTAAGTCTGTCAGGTATTTAAATTTCAGATATATTACAAACAACATCTTCCATAGAAAAGAGTGTTTGTTATAAATATGCAACACGCGGAAGCCCCAAACGCAACGAATCTAGGTATTTGTCAACCTGCCTGATATAGATCCTGGGAATATTCTGGCCTGAGATAATTTCTAATAAACCACTACAGGAACGGTGCTAGGAAACACCAATCGTCCAGATCGTACGTCACAAGTGGAGATGGATCGGACATACTCTTCACAAACAGGCACTAGATTGTAGTGGCCGCTCTAAAGAATACTGGAGATCCTCAGTTTTGGCCAAGGTACGAGAGACTGGGTCAACGCAGTGTCTTGTGCCTTGGTCTGAAGCTTAGTGCGTGGCTCAATATAGAATGCGTTTGCAAAGCATTGTAGACGCCAAGGTCAAGGAAGTCCAGTTCGTTCAATCCAAGGCGAACCTAGGTTAAGCGGAGAATGAATCAGTATGACCATGTAAATATTTTAAATATAAAAACTTTAGTACTTGTTTAATATAAAGGAACAGGGGGAAATCAAGCAGAGGGTATGATGTTAAGTGATACCGCCACGCCGCCCAGGAACACACAATGCTATGAGGCTTGCAAGTGCGTTGCTGGCTTTTTAAGTATTCGAAAAGAAGATCGTCTTGAGCCACAATCTTTATGAAAGTCTTTTCTCACAGTATTTGTTACCATATCCGAAACGCCTTTCCGACTTTTTTGCGTATGTGAGAATAGGTCGTAAACTATTTTACTACTACTATTATACTCTTCAATGTTAAAAGGTTACATTTCTTAATAGAGTTATTGGTATAGTAGTCATCTTTATATGGCAATACATTTAACGAGTCAACTAGTATTTAAATAACAAAACTTTTATATCATTTTCGAATCAATGCAATCTTCTTTGAAGTAAGTATATATTCAAACGCCGAAATGTTTGTTGAAAGTTTAATTTTTAAACGAATTTAACGCACGCAAAATAGTCTAAACTTTCCAAACTTAATACGAGCGAGTAATCTAAAAGTTAAATTGCATATGTTGAACGCGTTAATATTTAGAAACGCGACGCAGATTATGCAGAGCTAACTATCTAAATAATTAATTACATCCCTCGGGCTTTGCCTTATAATATTAGCAATATGTACATGCAATGTGTGTTAGTCGTTTTAAGACTAATACTTGTATGTGGGCAATGGGGCAGATAAAATAACAACTGCGTCCCAAATCTTTTCTTTATAGAACTTAGTATAAGTACTTTCTATAAAGAAAAGGTAGAAGTATAGGTATAGAAAGAAAGAAAAGTATAGAATCTTTGACGGGCCTAGCACAGGACAAGGAAAAGGAGTTTAAATTATATGGAGTGGCGATTTAAAAATAGTACTAGAAATACATATTACTGTTGTTGTTGTTTTGTTGTACAGCTATTGTTGGGAAGGTCGCAAAAGCCTTGTTAAAGTAAAGTAAAGTAAAAAATCATTTAATCATATAGGTAACATAATTTACACTTATGACTCGTCAGTACATATTAATGCTTCTAATTTTACATTTACTGCCAGTTCTCAAATCAAGGGCGTAGAACGGGAGAGAAGAACTGGCAATAAACTCTCCGCCACTCTTTTTAATCGCCATTTTTTTTTGTTTTACAAAATGTTTCTAAGGAGCTGCAACCATTACACCATGTCCCATGTGACATTTTAAGTAATTAATCATAATAACATAAATTAAAAACAAAGATTTGTCCTCTATCAGCAGGAGGCATGGTGAAATAGGAGCACGCACTTACATTCTCGTTAAAGTCAAACTACCGAACAGATTTTTATATAGTTCTCACTAATAGACAGAGTGATTCTTAAGAAAGGTATCAATATATAATTATAATTTTATGTAAATTTACTGAAAAATAAACTACTATTGTTGAAGAGGTGTCTTCCTACAATATACGCGAGTGAAGCTGGTGGTGGGTAGTTCTGATCTGATGTTAAGTGATCCCGCCCATTGACACTCTCAATGCCAGAGGGCTGGCGAGTTGCGTTCCCGGCCTTTTATGAATTGGTACACTCTTTTCTTGAAAGACCCTAAGTCGAATTAATTCGGAAATACTTCAGTGGGCAGCTGGTTCCACGTAGTGGTGGTGCGCGGCAAAAACTGTTTTAAAAAACGCTAAGTTGTGGAACGATATATATAAATATATACTAACTAATAAGAGAGGAGATATTAATGTTTATAATGAACTAGCATTTGCACGGCTGGATTTTATTATAGTAGACGTCTGATAGATATTGTTGTCTTCTATAAAACTGTACTACAGTTTGCTCTATTGTCAAATGTTTTTGGCAAAAAGTCGAAATTGCACTTTAGTTCTTACCTATTTGCTAGCTACTTGTAGCAAAATGTAGAACCACTAAGAAGAAACTGCTCTCGGGTCAAGTGCGTCTCACCCATATATTGTCACCCTTAGCCTAGATATTATGCAACAAGGTGTGAGGTATTTTATTTTTAAATATTATACATACTAAGTGATACAATGTTTCAACGTTATGTAAAAAGGTCGATCTACCGTCAACCATGGCAAACAAACTATCAATCTCAGTAATTGTCGATTAAGGGTAGCAAATACTAGTCTATAATGCAATATCAATATAATGTAAACAATATAATAAGTGAACTAATACACTATTAAAAGCAAGTTTTTGAACGAAGTTATGAACTTCAACGACTACAATTTACAACTTCGAATCGACGACGACAGTCACTCTGCGTAAAGACGTGGGCAACTCTCTGCAACTACTGCCGTATTCACCATGGAGAGTGTTTAGAGGATTTTACCAGCAGCTGAGTTTCATCACGTCAAAGCAGAATACGAAATACCACCCGTATCACCTCGGTTTTTAAGCGTTTCCAGTGTACCAGCGTTACTTAAGTCAGTTTTTACCGTGTACCACTTTGTTGAACCAGCTGCCCACTAAAGTGTTTCCGAACCAATTCAACTCCGTTTTATTAGTTCAAGAAAAGAGCGTACCAATTCTTAAAAGACCGGCAACGCACTTGCGAGCCTTCTGGCAATGTGAGTGACCATGGACGGCTCGCTTAATATCACGAGAGCTTCCTGCCTGTTTGTTCCACTTTAGTTCTTATGTAAACTTACTTTTGCTTTCTTGTGACTGATATACGATTTCCTTGGACCTACTTTTTTTATTTTTTTTATTATTAAATCCTTATAATAATAATTGGAACACCCATGCACCTACCAAAATCTGGATACACTAATTACTACAGATATTGTAGTATTAAAATTGTGTGTGATATGAATACGTCAAACGTTCATAAATACACTTCTGTAGGTACGGCGGCTAAAGTTGGATTAAAAAAATGTTCTCTCATCTATTAATTAACTTTCCTTAAAAACGAGGCTAAAATCGCAAATTCGGGATAGATCTAATTAAAAATACATTAAGCTGGTAACAACATACACATGCGCATTTGGTCAGAAACAGTCAATATAAGAGCGTACCAATTTCAAAAACGCTGGCAATACACTTGCTAGCCTTCTCACTGTTTGGGTGTCCATAGGCGGTATCACTTAACATCAGGTGAGCCTCCGGCCCGTTTGCACCCTATACTATAAAAGAAGTAACAGTATTATATGTAAAAATAATGAAGATTAGCCAAACGCGTAAGGTATAAATTATTTTTCTAATTTGCGTAAACTAAAATGTTTAGTTGAAAGTAGTCATTGTGAGTGATAATATTTTTGAGAATGATGCCCTTCAAAAACTAACCAGACTTTGGCAAGTGAAATACCTACATGG